CAAACATCACCATTAACAAGGTAAGTATAAAAATCATCTCCAAAAGATTTTTCTTCCTTTCTCTCTTACTCCTTCTGATACCTTCACACATCTCTTCAAAACTATTATCAAGATCTTCTCTAGTACTAATACTAGTTCTATCTTTTAAAGGAAATATGCCCTCAAAGAATTTAGCATTCTTATTTTCTAAGATAGTATTGAACTCGATAATATTATTTTTAAGGACAAGAAACCTATGGGCAACACTATGTTCTACATAACCAATAAACATGCAATCAGAAGTCTTAGGTCCTATTTTTATTTTCTTAGGATCAGGTAACAACACTTTGGCTAAGCACCCCCACAATCTCAAGTACTTCAAATTTGGAAGATATCATGTCTACAACTCATTAGGTGTCTTACCGGTTTTCCTATGTGGGATTCTATTATGTAAGAAACAAGCAATTAATAAAGCTTCTCTCTAAAGATTATTAGGTGTAGAAGAACTAATAAGTAAAACATTCATCATTTCCTTAAGACTTCTATTTTTTCCTTCAACAATTCCATTAGACTCTAGTAAATAAGGTGGAGTTACTTCATGAATAATACCTTATTTTTCGCAAAAATCATTAAACAAAGTGTACTCACCTCCTTTATCTGATCTTATCCTTTTAATTTTTCTATTAAGTTGATTTTCTACTTCGACTTTATAAGATAAAAACATATTAAAAGCTTCATCTTTATGTCTAAGAAGGTAAACAATATATCTTGAATAATCATCTATAAATGTTATAAAGTAATTTTTACCATCTCTAGAAGAGAGAGTTTTATTTGGTGTATCTTTCTCCTTCGGTAGAGATGCCTATTTATAGGGGTTCGGGTATCAAAAGAAAATAAAAATCATTTAAAGAGAATAATGAGTAATAAAGCTCCAATGATCAAAAATTAAAAACCCATTAAAATGAGATATTATGAGTACACTACAAAAAAATTGTCATATAGTGACACACACCCTAAGTGACACTATACATGTCACTAAAAATTACTTTTACCCATACAATAACTATAATATATGTTGATATATTATTAAAAAGTGTGGGTATAGACTATAGTGACACACAAAATATGTTAAATCTCATTCAAAATTAACACTAAAATTGTGTGCAACTATATGTTAAATAGACATATATCTACATATATTATACCTATAGTGACACTTTTTGTATGTCACTATATGTAACATTTCTTGTAGTGGTAATCAAATTCAGAATATGCTAAAACCGTTACTCTTCTAAAGTTCCTTAATTTCAAAATTATTTAAAATAATATTAAAAAGAACATAAAAATTTAGGATTATGTGTGACTACTTACTTTTATAATACCTATTATACACCATTCTATGTATACTGTGGAGAATAAAAGTGGTAACTAAGGAATTAGGCTACAAATATCGGATTTATTTGTGATAGCAATAGGAGATTTCGATAAAATCATACTAGGCCATGGGAAAATAAGCATTATTTGGTTCCATGTACTATTTAAGGCTATAATGATCTAAGACATTATATGTTCGATTCCATTACTAGTTTCTTAACACGAGGAGCCAAAATTTTCTTGCTAACTAAATAATTTGAAGAAATCATAATTTTGATGTTTTAAAATAAAGAAAATAAGTTATACACTAACAATGTAGAGTAATTTTATAGTATCATCCGATTATAAATTATCATATATAATAAAATTATTAATTTTTATAATAATTATCTTATAAATCTTACTAATTTTATTCTTGATTAATTGATGTTATAAAAAAATTATAGGGGCAATATATTGTTATTAGTTCTTATATGGTTTCTTCTTTCCTTTTTCACAAGCATTCTTGTCTATAAGAATAAAAAGATTAATTTTTCTTGCAATATTACGATTGTTATTGACTTAAAAAGGTTTTAGCACAAAACTGAAATACACAATTGTTGATATTATATTTAGGAATAACAAATAGATGAATCAGATAATTTTTTAAGCAAATCATAATGGATCAAATAAGAATAATCCATTTGAATCCATTAAAAACTCACATAAAAATTTAATCCATCCAATCCTTTTAAAAGCAGAAAAAAAAATCCATCCAATCCACCTATTAACAATTTTTTCATGGATGAATATTCAATCATCCATAAAAATAATGTTTTAAAAATTATATAATTTTTATTTTTTAAAATATTTTATTTTTATCTATTTTCTTTATAAGTCATTACATTCTTATATAGTCTTCTAAAGTTCACAAAATAAAAATTATGTTAAAATAATCTTTTAAAATCTCAATCTAATAAACATATCATATTTAATCCAATAAATTTTAAAAAAGTAATAAATGGATTACTAACCGTTCATAAAATTAAATAGATGGATTAGATTCGATCCAGTATTTTTTTTTATTATAATAAATAAATCAGGTAAATTTGTTATAGATATATCATATGAACAATGGGTAAATGAATTCATTTCTCATCACTAATTATATATATATATTTTGAAGGAATGTAGAAAGAAATATCTCTAATGGATTACACAATTTAGTTTTTTTAAAGAGGAAGTTGGTGATGGTAAGATAAAATTGTGGAAATGTTTTACCTATTATTTTGGAATAGACGTTTCTGAAGAGAGAGAGAACTTGGTAAGGTCAGAGAATGCGCTTCTAGTAAATGTCCCTCGTTTGGGAACACGCAGAGATGGAGAAAGAAAGAGAGAAGCAAAAATTGGCTTCTATACTTTGTCATCTCTATTTTGGAAACAAAACAGATGAATAGCCGGAATTATTTTGTTGTAATGATTAATCACTATAATTTTATTTTATTATAATGTTAAAGAATATCATTTTACATAATTATTTTTATTTAATTAAATAAATACAATGAAAATTCAACGCAATCTTTAATTCATTTCTTTCAATTCAAGCAAGCTAAGAACTTTAAAATATTTATTCTTGGACATAGCCCCTTATTTCTTTTATTCTAATGGTACTAATGAATAGTTCATTTTTTACTATTAGATTAAAAAAAAACAGGTGGGATGGTTTATAGTTATTTTCGAAGTTAAAAATTTACTCTATCACGTGAAAAATTAATTGAAGTCACATTATATCTTAAAGTTTATATAAAGTGTACATCTGACTTCTTTTTTTTTTTACAGCAATGTATACCTGATTTTGAGGTTCTAATCTTACATGCATAATCAACCATAATCTCATGTAGCTTCATAAATTAAAATTAAGCCACAAATAGTGAATAAATTCTATTCTAGTCCTCAAGATTATTAGCGTCGATCTTTAGCTCTTTCCTTTTTTGGGTTACAATCTTTAGATCTTTACTTCCAAAAGTTTCCCCTTTTTCATAAATTTTATATACAAAAATATTATTTTGGTGACATTCCACTTTTCGCAAACTTTACATAAATGTTAAAATAAAAATAAAAAAAGACAAAAGTAAACTACGTTTTACAAAATTAAGAACCAAAACGATTGATGCTTAAAATGGAGTTCACCCCATAAGTATTATCTTATTTGAGGACCCTCATAAGGATTATTTAAAATAACTAAGAATCAGATTAATATGTCTGCATTAAACATCCGATTTTGAAACCGCTTAATCAAATTCAATAAATTTTTGTCCTACATTAACCCCATCCATATAAAATATATATATTTTTCTGTTTTTCCTTCGCTTGTTGAAGGATTTGATTGATCCAATAACAATCCAAAACTTGAGGCTACCAGATTCAAATTTAAATTGGAATCATCAAAAGTTTATTTGTTTAACAATATCTTAAAAGATACCCATAGAAAAGCCATAATAGTTGGAACGAGGACCAAGTTCAATCACAATAATAGCCCATTTACTTACAATCTAAAACTGGACCAGTAAAACAATTACAATCCAAAAGACAGAAGAAATAACAAGTTTGATACATTTGGAGAAGCATGAATAATGTTTAAATTTATATTAAACTTCACGAATAACCTCGAGACTAAACTTTCGTGAAAATTCATTACTTCGGAAAAATACTTTTAAGATTTTTTATTGTTTATACTTTTGAAAAAGAAAATCTAATTTCAATTTGGCTTTAAATAATTTTGTAAAAATTATAAATACTTTTGTAAATACAATCAAATCATTTAAGTTTACTTTATAAAAAGCATATACAAACAATACCACCGAACCGGAGCCATCACTCAAAACAAAATTGTGCAGAAGCCTTTAACTTCACAGCAACACATTCTATTATCCATTTTTAGAGATATCTCACCTTTGATCTCTTCCACTATCTAAGGCAGTTATGTGAAAGGTGAGATACAAATGAAAGTCTTAAAATGATTATCAACGCCATAATGTCAAATTTTGTTGGGGGGCAGAAGGGGTGGATTAAACGTAATTTTGTGTAGGCACACTGAATCATTTATCAGAAATTTTTTATAAAACTGATTAAAAAAACAATTTTAAAAATTGATCAGCACTCTGTTCGTGATCCCTACCGGATTGAGCCACCCATATCAAACATTCACTTTTAAATTATGAAATGAAAAATGATAAACAAATCCATACGGGTAGTGAAAAGTGTTAACAATACACTTTATAACACTGTCTATTATTAATTTATCACTTTTTTTTACACCAATTAATTTACACTTGCTAGAAATTACAAAAAGAAAATATGATAAATGGAATGTGAGAGCCACATAACCTAACTTGATTAGATTTGATAAATTTTAACCTACAGAAAAGTGTGTTTAAAAGAGCAAGTTAAAAAGTATGTTGCTACCATTTTTCTACTGATAGTTGGTCAGATTATAAACACTAGCCAATGGCACTGGCTTCGTTTGAAAAATAATTTGCACTAGAGATGAATGGTCGTTTTATGTAGACAAACGTTTTATAGTTCTAAAGCCACGCAAGATAAGAAACTGTGTTTCCAAGAAGCCATAGATTACCATTACCAACTTAGTAAAAACTAATGTAAAAGAATCATAAAATAACTTGCTAAGTTGCATTATGGCTAAATATAGAACCAGCACAAAAAAAGGTCAGGAAAATTGAAATATGGAGTTAGGAGATAGAACTTACAATGGAGATATATCTATGGGGAGAATTGGCATGTACAATTAGAATGCAGGGAAAAAGCAATCTAATTTTCCAGTTCACTCCGTATCCAATCTTGTGAACACACCAAAGCTTGGACAGTAGCAGGATTAAGCGAGCTCCAATCACGATCAAGGACTCTTCCACCATAATTAAAAGCCAACTCCGGTGCAACTTTTGACATTGGAATTCCCAAAACGTTTCGTGCCATCATGGACAACACAGGATACCTGGGAGTGTGAACTCTCCACCAATTCAGTATGTTGAAATCAACATTACGCGGAAAGAGAGGCTCTTCCAGGTACTTGTCTAGATCTGATTTTGTGCCTTCACCCTGTGAAGTTTCATGGAGAAATTTATCAAACCCCATCAACCGGTCCCTGGAGTCCTTCACAGAACCTTGTAAGAGAAGTGGACCATTGCCAACTTGCCAGGCCAGACCTTGATCATGAGAAGCTAATGGGGAGCCTATAGAATGTTCATTGTATAGAGCCTTCACACCCTCAAAGACTTCTTCAATGCGACTTACAGACATGCTGCCATAAATTTGTGGATAATAATAATCTACCAACTTCATCTTGAATCGAGGGTCCAACATCGCAGCAACTGCCAACCCTAAGCTACATTTTTCCCAATACTGATCAAACTTGCTTCTCAATCTTGATGCCAAAGAGTTGATATACTCATCTGAATTCTTGCACCATTCAATCAAATGCAACTTAACATCACAGAGCTCAGGGAAATATATATTTGCAGTTGGGTACTTGCTCTTAGTGAAAACATTTATAACCTCAACAAAAAGCTTCAAGTAGCTAGTAACTGCAGTGACTCTATCCCACTCTACATCAGATAAACAGACTTTGTAGGCAGTGTCGTTTTCTTGCAAGAGAATTAAAACATCCTTGAATTCTAAGGCAATTTCAAGCATTGAGTATGTGGAATTCCATTGCGATGGATTATCTAGAAACAAGCCCTTCTGACTCATGATACCAACTTCTTTAGCCATTTCATTGAACTTTGCCAGTATAGTTTGTGAACTTTTAATGTAAGAAATAGTTTCGCGAATCTTATTGACTATTTCACTTACAGCTCCCAGAGCATGCTGAACCATTGAGTTAATAACATTTGCAGCACAGCGTATATCAAATAATTGACCATTACAATAAAGAAACCTGTTTTGCAGAAGCCTCTCACCAATTCTAACAGCAATGTTATCACAGGTAGAGCAACTATCCAAAATCATGGAGAACAATTTACGGTCAATATCCCAATCCATTAAGCAAGTCATGATGGCTTCTGAAAGCATATCTTCGGTATGAGAAGGATCAATCCTTATAAAATTTAATATTCTCCTTCTTAACTGCCAAGATTCATCTATATAATTTGATGTCAAACACAAATACTCTGCATCTCCAACAGCAGTCCACACATCAGCACTAAGACTGATTTTCCCAGGCAATTTATCCAACATCTCATTCACCTTTTTTCTCTCTCTATCATAAATCTCGATGCAATCTGCTTCAACCCTATTCAATGTCACAAGCTCAAACAATGGCTGTAGATTTTTAACAAAAGCTCTGAAACCAACATGCTCAACCATAGCCAATGGATATCCATGAAGAATTATCATACGAGCAAGATCAAATCGACTCCGCCTTTGATCAAAGTTACTAGTTCCAGTGTTGACAGAGTCATCTTTCAACTGTGTCTGCTCAAATTTAATATTCACAAGACTAAGGGTATTATCATCTTTGTTTGAATCTTGATCTAAATTGAAATTTGCAATTGCTAGAGTTCCTTCCTTTCTCTTTTCTCTTGCTGAAATGTATTGTGCTATGCCATGGCTAGACCTTCTCTGACACCTGATTAAATGGTTCCTTAGATGTGATGTTCCACTGGTGCTTGATCCGCTCAGTTTCTTTTTGCAATGCCTACAAACAGCCACACAGGTGTCGCCTTTTTTTATCCTATCAAAATCATTCCACACAACAGATTTCAACCTACTAGATTTGACAATGACAGCATCAGACATGTCCATCACATGAACCTGTAACAAAAGTCCGCCCATTAAAGTTAATTCAACTATTTCCGTTTAGAGGGATAAAAATACAATGAACAGGATTGCATCTATGTACTTCCTACTATGTGTGAGTGCTCATGCGTTCATAACGTTGAAACCGTAAAAAATCTAAATAATAATAAAAAGAAATGGTACCATAAATTAAAAGGGAAAAAGGGACAATGCCCTAGTTAAGAAGAAAAAATGCAAAAGTATAATTCACTCTTCAACTTCTACAAATGACTAACCACATTAATTACCCAGTCCAAGTATCCAACATACAATAGAAAAATTCTAGTCCACAATACCTATCAATGTCTCAACTAGACCACAATTAAAATTAATTGACTCTGCATCCCAATTTGAAGGGTCAGAGACAAAATCCAAACTTCAACATTTTGAAGCCAAGGATAAAACATACTTACAAAGCCCTGATTCAAGAGAATCAAAATCAATCAAAGGCACCAAACTTCCTCTAGTTACTTTAGACCATTATCCTAGAATTCCTTAATAATTTAAAAGTGAACATTTGCTACAAAATTTTAAATCTCAAAATAAGACCCCTTCAGTAATTTTATCTTTAACGGCTTCTTAATTCACCAAAATTCCAACATTTGCCAGCAAGCAAACTCCCACTCCTGTCATGAAATCAAACACAAACACGTATAACCCCAAGACCATTCAACCCCATCACCAATACCAATGGCACTGCTAAAAATAAAAACAATCATAGAATAACAAGAAGAAAGGTAAACCTAAAACATCACTCCACTTTTTCAAACAAAAAACAATTGTACATAAATAAAGGCATGATTTTGACGCGAGTTTGAAACACCCATTAAGCAATTGCGGATGTAAAGACAGAGAATTCTCTATTACAAGCTTCGAAATACAAATCAATTTTTTTATTTACGAAAGAAGAATTTTGGAGAATATATATGGGTTAAGCATTGAGAATGAGTGGCAGAAAGGAAGGAAACATAGTACCGTGTGGAGGAATGGGGTTGGATTCGGTGCGGAGCGGTGCGTGAGAAGAAAGGAAAAGAGGTTTGGGAGAAAACCCTAATGGGAAGGGGAAAGAAGGAAGAAGAAGAAAATGAAGAAGAAAGAGATAGCAATGCGGTCACACAGGCGCAGCGGCTTCTATTCTTCTTCTTGGAACTTAAAACGACACGTTTCATTCTATACTATATACAATACTTTTTTTTCTCAATTTTTTAATGAATAATTTCTCTTTTTTTTTTATTTATTTTTTTTAATATAATGCAGTAGAGAATACTTGCTTATTCTTACTAATATATATAGTATTCCTTTGTTTTTAATTTTTCTAAAAAAATATATTCATTTCTATAATATTTATAATAAGATAAAAACAAGAGGTGTTTACACATATATTTTATGTTCTCACATTAAAATGTCACCTTTAAACAATATATAGTTTTACTCTAATATTCAAATTTTAAGCAATTCATAGGATAATAATATTTTTTATTTTTTATTTATACTTGATTTTGAATTAAATTGTATAACTAAATTAAAAACTAAACATATTGTAATTTTTTTAATCATAATGATTAATTAAAAATAATGAAAAATTTTATAATTTATAATATATACACTTTTCGGTAACCGTTTTTATTTCCATTTTTATATAATTTTTTCTTTATTTATATATTCTTTTCATTTTATTCTAAAATTTGAGAACAAACTACTTACAAAATAATTTTATTTTTTAACGTAAAAAAATATAATAATTATCTATTTAATTTATTCTTAGTAAGTCATTTAGTGTTTTAAAAACTTTAAACTGATGTTTATATATAACTTTAAACTGATGTTTATGATTTGACATGCATGACCAATTTAATAAAAAAAAAAGTCAAGTTTAATGTTTTAAAAAATATATATTTACTTAAAATATTGAGCTTAGATTTATAAAAAAAAATTGTCACTAATAAACTAGTCTATTTATCTATATAATTTAATAAAAAAAAGATTAATATATATTTTAGATTACTCATAATATAATTAAATAATTTTTTAATAAAATATTAAATTATCAATATTTTTTTACATTTTCACTATGTTTAAATATTTTAAATTTTTTGTTTGTATAAAATCAAGAAATCAAAAATAGAAATTTGACTTGCTCTTTTTATCTTCATGGTTGATTATTTAAAATATTTAAATAAAATATAAAAAATACTTTTAAAAAAATTGGATAAAATTATTCTCTTTCATTAGCACATGTGCATGAGTGTGTAGGTACATGGGTTGCATGAGTTAACCCTCTCATGTTAGTTTTTTTATTTTTAAAATATAAATTTTTTAAAAAAAAAGTCACATTTGTATTTGAAATATATTTTTTGGCTTATTTAATTTTACATTTATTGATAGGGTATTTGTCAATTCAGATAATTTGATAAAAATCAATTATCCAAATCAAATTAATTAAGTTAATTTGGTTATTTCCTTAATTGGATCAAATCCAATCCAAACCAATTAAATCTTATCTTAATTAGTTTGAATTTCATATTTGCATTTTACAAATCCAATGATCCAAGAATCGAGCTAATTAAAATTATTATAATTATAATAATAATTATTATTATTATCTTAATATTATTTTATAATAATATTATTTTATTAGAATACATGAAGACAACTTGGATAATGATTATAACTTAGATAATTTAACTATGTTTAAGGACAATCTCAATTTTAAATGTTGAAATACTATGATTTCAAATGTTAGACTATATTTGACTACTTTAATTTCATATTAATTTTTTATTTACCCTTGAATGTTATTTACACTCATTTAATAATATTTATTATTTAAATTTTGAGATAAAATAATGTATTTTTTATGTTTTAAAAAATATCTATTATTTTTTTTCAAGGAAAGCGATAAATTTGAATCAAGACTTTAGTTCACCCCAAATTTGAACCAAACCAATCCATGAACCCCTATTTATTGATCTATTTAACATTACTAATATAAAATGGGCTTTTAAATAGGTTAATAGATTATATCAAACTTTTTTAAAAACCAAGTCAGACCTATAAAAAAAATTGATGACAAATAATATATCAGACTTAAGCTTTAATTTTATAAAATAAATTTATCTTGTATATTTAAAGTCTGGCCTAACCTAATTTATTTTCATCCCTACCTAGTAGTTATAAATATTAAGAAATGCATAAATCTTTTCCAAACCATACTTATTATTATTCTTAAAACATTTTTTTTTATCCTTTTTAAAGCATTATGCATTATTAATTATTTAAAGGAACTATGAGAGTGTTTATAGGGACTATACTTCAACGAGAGAGTAAAAACAAAGTATGGGAGAAGGCTTTACTAGGATTTTTGTTAGAGATGCTCCTCTTGACAAAGACTCACTATTATGAAGTATGAAGAAAGTTTAAATGAAGGACCTTGTAGTAGTGGTGGATGAGAGCATGGTTGATAATCCTTCGCTAGTGGTTGCTATAAAAGACAAACCTTATATGGATAGTCTTTTATCAATTAGAGGAAGGAGAGTTTTTTTGAATATCAAAAATTTGATTTGAGAGATAGAATTTTTGAAATATGAGAACTACAAGGAGAAATATGTGTTTGCAGGAATAATGGAAGAGTTAGATACCTACATCTTTATCCCTGATCAAGAGGTATTTGAGGAATAATGCATGCCATGAAGGAATTCTCTTGTTATTAATATCATAGGAGAACATTTTTCTTTTAGGATGCTTGAGTATAAGATTCAATGTGAATGGGCAAAGACGGGGGTTGTTCGCATTGTTGACATGTCTCAAGATTACTTTCTTGTTCAATTTGCGTCTAAATAAGATTATAAGCATGCCTTATTTAATGTTCTATGGATGATTGCAAACCACTGTATAATGGTTTAGAGATGGAGGAGTTTCTTCACCGTTACTGTAAACCACACTTGTAAAATTGCAACATAGGTGAAGATCCCTAGACTTTCTATTGAACTCTTAAATGATAGGTTCCATTAGAAGGTTGTAAGTAAATTACGGACAATGCTTAAGATTGATAAACTTACTCCTATTCAATCTTGTGGAAGGTTTTCCAGGATATGTGTAGAGATAGGTTTGGGAAGGAAGTTGGTCTCTCAAGTTAATTTTTTGGGCATATTCTAAAATTAGAGTATGAGGGTCTTTATTGAATTTGCTTCAAATGTGGCACATAGAGTCACAAACAAGATAGTTTTACTAATCTAATGGTGGGTGATGAGCAACCAAAACATCAAGACATTTGTATAAAAGTTAATGGTGAGTGACACAAAATGCAAAGAAACCCTAATTCTAAGGTATAGGCGACAAATACAGAACAATTGGGTCAATCAAGATCAGATTTGGATGGTTTGTATGGGCCATGGATGATTGTTAAGAAGAGGAAGAAATCTGAAATATATATATATATATATATATATATATATATATGAGTTAATCATCTATACACGGCTAGTGTAAAGTTTTTACACTGGCAACCAATCAGATATTTTAATAGTGCATTTTTTATTTTAATTTAATTAAATGAGCAAATGACATGACACTATTAAATAAATTTATAATATATATATATATATATATATATATATATCTTCAAATCCAAAACAAAATACAAGAAAATTGTATGATTCAAAAACCAATATTAAGGCTCTTAATAGTGGTAATCAAACTCGTTTTGATTTATTACAAAATAATGATATGGTTATCAACTATTTACAAATAATGAAAAATAATGTCAAGCCTTTATTTAGGGAGAATAACCATTCAGTTATTAAGATAAGGAATTCTACAGATGGCAAGAATTAGCAAATCCTACATGTTAAAGGGGTGGGTAATTTCCAAAAATTAAAGTAAGTGAGGGGTCATGCAACACAAAAGATAAGTCTCTCATGCATGTGGTGCATTGGCATTGCCTTTAGTGATTTCTATGAAGTTGAATGGCTCAAGTAAAGATCAAGAGGACAAAAACACATCCTTGATGTTGGATGGGTTAAAATATATTGAGTTATCTCGAAGAAAGTTTCAGCATAGCATGAACTTGAGATTGACTTATCCTTTAACATAGGACTTTCCAAGAATGCTAGCAATGGTCAATGTGACATATCCAGGGTGTAAAGGCCAAAAACATTTAATTGGTAATTAATGAATGTTTTATGTTAGAATTGTAGGGAGTTAGCAATAAAGGCTTCACCACTATCATAAAGGATTTAGTTAAAGAGTATGACGTGGGTGTGTTATGCCTACTGTCGCAACCCGAAAATTTTCGATCTCGCAACACATGGTTTAGATATCCTTTTAAAAGTCTCATCAATTAAGGAATGCCCGGACACCAGACTAATCCTTAATTAATGGTTTTGAAAAATGAGTTCATGGAGTCGCCACCAATGTTTTACTCAAAACATTCGAAAAAGAAAAGGTTTTTAAAAATCCAATAATGACCTTGATAACCAGAATTGGGTTCGGGGGTCGGTTAC